GGAAGAGCCACACTCAAGGGGCCAAAGAGCCGCATGTGGCTCGCGAGCCGCAGTTTGCCGACCACTGACCTAGAGCATTCTTCTTTAGGAGCAGAGCTCCAAAGGAAGAGACAAGTCAATTTTCCAAGCCCTCCTCTAGCTCTTAGTAATTACATGCCCAAGACACAATTTCCATTTCCCACTCCAGCTGCTAACGAGGGCCTTAAAAGTGTCTCCATTTTCACCTTTGTAGGTCTCTGCCTTTGCGAATGGGGAGCTTGATATTCCAAGAAACGCAGTGGTTGCCAAGGGACAGCAGTAATAGAGCCCTGTGCTGTGGCCAGGTTGGGGGCAGGGGAGGGGGATGGAGCGGGGGTCGGTGCAGGAGCAAAATTTGCAAACACAGGATTGTGGGCCTCAGGCCAATGAAGACTTGGTTCGTTGCTGTGGTGACACATTTAGTCTCTCGGAGGGATCTTGGCACACTAGCTGCATTCCTGGCATCACGTTTGTCAGCAAGAAACTTATGGAATAGAACTAGTATCAACTCCAGAGGGAGAGGCAAGCTGCTTTCCTAACTTCTTTGGCAACACTACTCTTTACAACTTGTGCGAATACACCCTCCTGAATAGTTACATGAACTGCTATTTGTGATACAGCTCTTAGGAGCCCTGTTGGATGGTTCTTTAATGAGAGCACCGTCCCAGTTTATACATGTAACTATTGTATCCATGAATAATTCAATTCCCTAAAATTGGCATTTAATAATGACATCTCTTGCCTGGAAGAGTATGTAGTCCCTCTCTCCCTTTTAAAAATAGTTTTTACTGTTGCCAAGAGGAGAGCCTCCTATTTCCTATTAGAAGATATATATGTCAATTAAAGTGCTAGCTTCGTTCCCTGTTCAATTCCCTAGCACGGTGCTAGCAAGTCCTCTCACACCTGGCAGAAAGGTGTTCTCACAGAAAGACCCTTAGTTCTGCCAAAAGCCTGCCCACCTTTCTTATTTGTGGCTGGAAGGCAAAATGCACTAGGATTTAGCCACTTAGTATTCAAATCATGTCAGGATTCAAGTAAAAAGCCTGTATTGCAGAGCTAGATGCACAGTCACCAAGACAAACACAATCAACAGTTCAAATCATAATTCAATTATACACAAGTGTGGGCAAAACATGCAGACCTGTCTAGTCAATGAAGCAGTGGAGATAAAAGGTATTACTACATAAATGCCAACTTGTGAGGTTTTACTGAATGCAGAGTTGCCATTCTTTCCAGCTGCACCCCCACCCTTACCCGCATTGCTTTCTTCATCCTCCTCCTCATTCTCCACTTTTACTTCTCCTTTTCCATCTTCTTTTAAAATGCACAGCATCTCCAAAAGTATTGAGAAAGGAACAATTCCTCTGGGTATTTTCCTAGTTTTGCAAAGGGACAGTGATGCGAGCAGGCCAGTAAGGGCTACTGGAAACATGGGATGCAGTAGAGGAAATGCAGTTAATGCAATAATTCACATGCTAATGTTTAGTTCCATCAATGTCAGCTTGATTTTCTCCTCGGCAGACACAAAACTGGCACACAACTATAACTGATGCATAGTGTCATTTTTAATTTAAAGAGCATTCAACTGTCCACTTTAACTAGTGATATTATCTTTGCAGTTGTCTCCTAAGACTTTATATAAACACTAGAAACCCAGTGTGCAAAATCGCGCTGCCCAGCTCACCCGCACGCACCCCGCCCATCCGCCCCCCCAACCCTGCCACGCATAAAGCCCCGCCTACCCTCATCGGTCTTTGGTAGTTTCAGCATTAGGGCCAGAGGCCTTTTATAATATAGATAAGTAATGTGTCCTAGACAGTTTGAAAGGGATTGTTAAAGATGGCATTGATTTCTTTTAAATTTCCAGATACAGTTTATGCTACTGCCATATTTTAGCCATTACTGAAATTAATAGATCCCAAGACTTTTGAACCAAGTTAAACACAGAAATAAAGGTTTGAAATGAAAGAATTGTAATGTTTTCATGTCAGTTCTCAAAGAAAAATGGAAGACAAATCAGATTATTTCTTTCCTAGTGACTTGGTAAGTAATAAGTAAGAGCAAGACACTAAGAAATATAAAATTCCAAACAAATGAAAATCTTTCTGTTTTCCTGGGGACTCTTGTTTATTGGAGATAGTTTTTCAGACCTTTTAGAGAGAAAAAATGTCCAAGTATATCTGTTACCTTAGTGCAATATTTAGAGTATAATATTTTATTGCCACTTCCTTTATCATTTGTCTCCTTAGTGTATCATTAAGCCTGAATTTTTAAACATCACATCATTTTGGTATTTCCAAATGTGTTATGTTTCCTTTTTAAACAACAATATTCTTTCAAATGTTCAAGCTGATGGGTATAAACAAAGTTACTTGCTATTTTTAAATAAACTTCTTTTCTTTGGAGAAATTACATTCTGCAATTCAAGTGTAGTTTTGGAAGAAGATGATCTGTGTTTGAACCAGAGTTTTCCTAAGAAGTCTGGCATTTGCTGGAATTGGGTTAAACAGTAAAGGATCTCTTTATTATTCTATGGCCATATGTTTAGAGGGTCGCTCACAGAAAGTATTGTTCATGGAAAGCTCTAGCTAAGGAGACATTTTGAATTCATCAAAGAACTGCATAGTTTGAAAAGAATGCATAGCATTATGTATTGACACCACACCACCAGAGACAAAGGAACACAATTTAATAAGAGAGAATAGTGCTCATGAGATTTCTCTTTTTCTTGTTAATTAGTTACTTTAACTACATTGTCTGCAAGTATAATGGACACCATTATTCTTAATAGTTCTCTATTGCCAGATGATGTATACAGACATCATGTAGTCCATTTTAATTATTTCTTTTTGCTAGATTCTCCCCTCCCTGTAATACAGTGGTGAGTGCAGGTAGGACTTTTTTTCCTGACAGACTATGCTGGACAGTGCTGGTTTCTAAATTTTGGAAATTAAAAGGGTATTTCTTGCTAACTTAATGGTTCCTTCCATGTTTCTGTGCCAGGTATGACTATGTGGAAGTCATTGATGGAGAAAAAGAAAATGGACGTTTATGGGGAAAGTTCTGTGGAAAGATTGCCCCTTCTCCTATAGTGTCTTCAGGGCCATTTCTTTTAATCAAATTTGTCTCTGACTATGAGACACATGGTGCAGGATTTTCCATACGTTATGAAATTTTCAAGAGAGGTAAGTAACCTAGAGTAAAACAAATACAACTAAATGCTTATTAAGATTGTTTGATTCATGAAAGACAAAGTGAAAAGAAAGACAAGGAGTAAATGCTATTATCCTTTTGAAAAAAAAAAAGCATGTATTCTCATTATAGAAATGTTAGAAATACTTTAAACAAAGGAAAAGTATCCACTATATGGAGGAAGTATATTTAAATTTTTTAAAAAATACTTCGTAAATCAAAATTGCATGATTCTAATGTGTTAACCACCATTTATAAGGCATATACTCCATTAAACTCTTTAAGGTCATTTCTTCTTAAAATATGTTTTATCTACTGTTGAAGTTTAATTCTTTCCCCCATTAAAAATGCAGTCCTGTTGCCTTAAAGTTATGTATAGCCTGTTTCTTTTATTTTATTCTAAAATTTAAACCTGGTGGTTCCCAGGAAAAGCAAAGCAGTCCACTAGCCTTAGAGTGTCTAAAGCTATCGGAGGATTTCTATTAATGGGGGAATTGTTGGGGAAAGACCTCTTGGAAAAAATAGAGCAGTAACACTTTCAATGGCATTCCCCTTAGGAATTGCATGTCAATTACCCTTCCAATATAATTACTTACTAATCTTCTATTCCAATGCTATATATTGATATGAGATAGGATCTGATAAATCAGGTCTCCCAGCCTTTAGGAATTAAAGATATATATCAGTCAATTTATAAACAATATATCTTTACCTACATATTACTGTTTTTTTCCAACAGCCTATAGAATCTTTTGATGCATTAAATTCATACTTCACTTATATTTATTGTATTTAATTATTCCCTTAACATTAATGTGTGGAGGACCTATCTAGGGACAGAAGTTCAAGATTTGAATATATTGTCCTAGAATATAGGCAAAAGAGCTTTTTAAAATAGAACAAATCTAGCCATACCAATGGCAAATGCCTAAGGTCTTCTGGGTCAGCAACAACTGAGAATAGTGAAAAGGAGTCATTAGGAGTTTCTGGGAACATTGATACAACTTCTTAAAATTTCAAAGATATCTGCACTGCCCCATAGAAATGTGGATAGATGAAGAGAACTTACTTCAGACATTTATTTAAGTACATACTTGGAAACTCTTTAGTATGAATATGACATCAATATGTACAGATGATTACATATGTACATATTTCCTTGTGTTGAAAGCCGTTTGGTGTGTTAAATCATTTTGTACACATATGCACACACATATCTATATTCGCTCTACCTGCATATGGCACTACAAAGAAAAATGGTGCCACCAAAGGGCCTGAGAGAACAGCCTTTCAGTGTTCTCAAAGATCTGAAAATGGTTGAAAGAGAAAAGAGAGAGAGATCTATTACTATGTCATTAAGAATTATTCATCTTCTTCCAAAAGAATTCCATTCCCTTCGCTCTCTTAGTCTCAGATGTACCATTATTTCTCTGTCCTGCTCTCCAGCACCATCCTTAAAACAGGAAGCCTTTTTTGATTTTTTTCTTCTTGCTTCCCTACATCCCATATGGTTTCTAGTTCTTTGGAATTTTTACCCTAAGATGTCAGAGTCACACTTCCTTTTTATGCCCATTGCCATTAACTAAACAGGCCTAATCTGTGGTTCTCTCCACCCTATCTTATTCTACATACATTTTCTCAAGCAGTCCTCAAGCCATAGTCTTCAAAATGACTATGGCAGTTCCCATGGGTCATAGTCAAGCCTCATTGTCTTGTTGGGTCAAGTGCAAGGCTTAACATCACTTGTTCAGGACCTTCTCCAGCTCCTACTCTCACAGATCACAAGCTGGCTTTCTGCCTCAGGATAGTGCACTGGGTAATGCCCAGCAGACCTGAATGTGAATTTTAATTCTGCCACTTACTATTTGAGAATGTTCAGAGCCTCCAATTCCTCATCTGAAAAATGGATAATATTATCTAGCACAAGCTTGTTGTAAAGATCAGTTGAAATGGAAAACATGCAGCCACTGCCTGGCACTGAAGATGTGTCCAATAAGAACTTATTGTTGCAATGATTATGGATTAACCTGGTGCCTTCTGGATTCATAGCCCTTGCTCTCTTCGGTTTATGTCCCTTAACTTATATAAGCAGCTAGCTCTGTCTAAATGAATTTTTCTCAGGAAGCTCTTCCTAATTAATATACTTTGTTTCCTATGCATATACCCAACTTATCTCCTACATATAAATACATACATATATATATATGTATATATATATATATAGTCTCATGTGTAACGATCTCCAACCACCAAGGTTTCAACTTTAGTATTTTAAATTGAGTGCTGTTCCAAAAGTAATATTCATGTGGTTTGGAGTTTTCTATCCAAAGTAGGATAACAGAGAAAATAGGGAAAGAGGATGGGGAGTACTGGGCGATAGGAAGGCAAGTATTT